ATTAAAACCCCCCCCCCCCTCCCAAAAAAAAAATAAATAAATAAATAAAATAAAATAGACATAAACCCAAAAAAAATAGGAATCTGCTTTTATAAGATGAAAACAATCAAGACAAGACAAATGCCAAGCAAAATCCGAGGAAGCCACCACGAATGTACGTAAGAATACACCACTTTCTTTCTACCTTTTTCTTTTCAAAACTTTGCATCAAATTGCACTTTATTTTTTTATTTTTATTTTATTTTATTTTTTACAAAAGGTACATCAAGTTTCCATGGAAAGTGCATGTCATGGGGTTGCAAATCAAGAGCTTAGTTGTATTTTCACACTGTTTGCATATAAATGGACAAACAAAGAGACAAACAAGACAACTTTTCTTGTTGCTTAACCTATAAAATAATTGAGAGGATTGGAAGAAGTCCCCTTCTTTTGTTCTTTTCTATTAGGATTTGACAAGACATATATGTCTTCGTAGAATACGAGAATTTAAACAATTACCTAGAATCAAATTAATTTACTATTCATTTATACATTTCGTCGAATATTTTTTTCATTCCCACATTTCGTAAAATTCACAATTATTATTCATTTATTATCCACACATTTCGTGAAGACTCATAACTTATAATCACTTAAATATTAAATTTATCACTTACCAATCATGCACTAAACACTGTTCTTCATGTTTTACTTAGTCTCTCTGTTATCCCTATCTCACTTATAAGATTCATTTCTTTATTATTACCTCTCGCAAGTGTTTGGATCGTCACTCAATCTTAATGTTTATCCTCTCAGACCAACTACTAATCATTCTCTTCGTAAGTTATGACTTCAAAAATTAACTAATAAGATTTGAGCAATTTCTTTATTTTGCTCCTCGCCTCGTTCACAATCTCAACAAGATGTGTTAATATTGATTTACATCTCACTTTTCTAACACCTTCATAGAATTTTTATGGTTATAACCGATTTGATACAAATTAAAAATCATATTACAGTTGGAAAAAAGTTCGAGCTTTATTGAAAAAGTTTTCAAAAGTAAAGATAACTTAGTTGTAAATGTGAACAAATAATAGTTAGTAGCCAGATTCCTTCTAGATAGTAGCTATGTTATTAAGAGCAATTATTTAGCAAGTACTCCTAAATTATGTTCATCCTTAATTGTTTACTTTTTTATAATAATAACATACCCATTGAAGAAACTTGTAATCAAATTATTCTCAATAATGAGGCAGGTAAAAAGCCTATGAAATTATGTCAATTCCAATGAAGGATATAAACAAGATAAGGAAAAGGTCTTACAAATGAGAGTTGATTTAGGATAAAATCAAGATATTAAGATTAAATTTTCTCTTGTTATATGATAGACACTTAAATTATTTGCTTGTCAGAATTTCATTGACACGATTAAGGTACCTTTTTTTTCATGACAATCTAACTTTTATGTATATATATCACGATTTTCTAAGTTCTTGATATTGATTTAGTATCAATATCAAGAATATTCACGCTCGTCGAACTTTTTTAACTATAAAATAGAGGGAACTATTGAGGAGATAAACATGAAAAGTGGTAACTACTTTTTTGCATGTGGAGGTTTGACAAAATTGCTTGCTTTTGGGAGGGTGGTTGATTAAAAAAATTTAAATTCTATTAAGATATTGAGTTTTGACAATGGAGTAGTTATGGGGTCATCGGGGTGGCACCATAACTTTTGATTTAAACACTAAACATTCCATAATCCTAACTGGAATTCCATTTCATGTATGTACAAATATTTAAATGGATTATAGATCCCATTATCAATGTATAATGGACCAAATTATAAATTATTTAACTATCCCTACACAATATCTTATTATCCTCCAAATGTAGTACATTATATTGACATTAGTGACATTTTTTTCCTTCTTCCATCTAATTTTACTAGATCTTTTGTTAAATATAAAGACGATTGTTATCAAGTAATAATACTTTCTTCTTCTTTTCAATCCAATATTCACATTCAAAGGAGCCATTGTGCGATCGTTATTGAGAAATCATGACAATTTTCTTGTTTTCATCGAACATTTCCAAAACGATCCAACAAAATATTCGTTTAGAATTATATTTTTGTATTGTCATTCTACTACAATTAATTCGATCTAACTGTTAACTAATTTTTATTTTTATTTTGGCCACAATGGCCTCATATGGTCCCCCACCCCACCCATATCATTTGGCACCTTATATGGTTCACTTGACGAGCCAGAAAAGAGAAGAAAATGAAAGTTCAGAAGGAGATTTGATATTTTTTGTCCCTCATATCACCCCCATCAAACCAACTCACCTTTTGGACAGCTCGATATGTTTTTTCATGGTCCAAATTGTCCGTCGATATAGTTTTTTAATAACACCTATCTCATATTCATATGAGACTCTAACTCAGGTCATTGACCGTTACAACTTTGCTCTTATCATTTAAGCTTAGACTCTCTCTTCTTTGATATACATAGTTTAATTTTCACTTTAATAATTTTTAGAGGTACTAATAATTAAAACTTAATAAAAGATGACTTTTGTGTAATGAATTAGTAAGGACATAGTGGCTTAGATTATGGCACTACTTCCCTTTAGTTGTAAGATCAAGTAGACGTACAATTATCATCACAAGTGACTGGTCCCCCTGTAAAATTAAAATCAAATTTCTTCCATACTTTTCACAAGTGCATGCTCACAATTATTTACAATTTATTATTCTTCCCCAAACTACATTTAATAAATACTGCACACTTATTCATCACTCATTTTTATTAATTTATAATTTAAATCGATTATGAACAACTCCCGAACGTGCTCAACATCTCGAGTTCAAATAAAGAAAGAGCACTATCGCAGATGTCACATCTTTGACATAAATTCTCGATGACATTTTGTCGGGAACCCGGCTTACCCCTAATCATAACCTTCATTAGTGGATGTAACAACGTACTTAACCGAGTCTCAAAAATGAATTCATGTAACCAACTCCACGATCTATAAAAACTTATACAATTCCACATTTGTTAATAAAATTAAAGAAAACATGGATGATTTTGGTAATTCACTATTTGCCCATGGCCTAAACATAGACTTCACATTAGGACCCCCGCCCCGCCCACCCCTATCTGGTTCACATGCACTCATTCGATTTATTCTTCAAGAACCAAGACAAAAGCTCATTTGGTTTATATTAGAGACATCTCTCTCTCTCTCTCTCTCTCTCCAATTCTTGGCTCCTTAGAATTCATCACTGGATATGATATGATGTAATTTACATTTTTCTGAACAAAAGCAAATCCAACCGTTGAATTGCCACGGCCTCATCCTCTTTGTTTTCTTCTTCCCAGCGAATAAATTCTCAGATATAAACACATTTCTTTACACAGCGCCTTCTTTGTGGGCTGCATATATTTATCTTTTTCTCCGTTTTTCCCTGTGTATTTCATGGCTTCTAGACAAATCTTTAATGCAAACGAAAATGGGAATGAAATTAACAGGCTAGATATTCAGACGGCCATTGCTAAAGCAGTGGAGCTCAGATCACTTCATGCTGCTCTTTTACAGGGAAAAAATAGCCCTAAAAATTTAAGGTTCCCTTCTGCTTCTCCTGTTTCTCATTCTCACGATGCTTCCCAGTTTTCTGCTCAAGATTATCCAGTTTTTACTCCGGTAAGTTTTTCATTTTCACCATTTTCTCTGTGTTGATAAGTGATTTTTGTGCTTTAAATCCACACTGTTGTGGTTCAAGATAATATGTTCCTTCTGTACACGAGATTGGAACTTGGGAATCTATTTTTCTCTCCCAAAACATGGTTGGGTGTGCTTAAAAGTTAATTTTTTTTTTTAATAGACAAAGCTTAATTTACTTATAAGAAAAGTAACTTTTGACCAAGACCGAACATGAGTGTCAGCTTTTACATGAGTTAACATTGTATCGTAGCACGCAAAAGTCCAGAGTTGTTAAGTACTTGATTAAAGTCGATGAATGTGTCTCCTCTCTTAGAGGTGTCTATATGCTTAGACGAAGTGGTTAAACATAACAAGAAAGAAATCATCGAAATTACATTGTTTGTCTATGGATTCACTGTTTTTTGAAGCTAAATGTTGATGGGGATCATGAAATTATAAGTACAGAACAAAAAATTTCTCATTTCAACAATATTCAATTTTTAATAAGCATGGCCTAATCTTTTACGTTTAAAGATAATCTTTAGCATCACTTTTGTTGTATCAGATGAACATAGTTTGGCTTAATGGAACAGAAAAACTTTTCAACTCTATTCATTCTCATAATTTTCCTTAATAGTTACTGTAATAAATTTATTCAACTCTGACTTCTTTAAATCCTTTATAGTTCAGACTGCCTTAATCTTCAGTTACCACTCTCTAGATCTGTGTTCTTGCATATTTTTGCCCTTTTACTATGTTCAAATAGTTTGATAATCTTCAATATAACGTGTTCTTATCGACAATTTGAAATGTTAACAGAGTTATGACGATGAACCATTACCGGGGTATCAACAAGATATGTTCGAGAATCGAAATTATGCTGAAATTTGGAGAGATTACGCATTCAGAGGGGGAAATGTCGATGAAGCCATATTATCTGATTGTAGAACAACAAATGCATCTTCAAGAAAAGGATTTCCCTCTGAATTTGTACACTTGGAACAAAATATATGTGCAGCCGAAGATCAATATTCTGTCACGGGTTCTTGCATTCATAACGTTGGCGCGCTTAGATTATCCCCAAGACCCAATTACTGCAAGTCGAGGCGAAACAGTTTGGGAGACCTTAGATCAGTATCATCTTGCAACAGATGTATGCCTGCCACAATTAGTACTGAGACAGATGGTTCGACTAAAAACGGGAAGAAGTCTAATATCGTCGTACCATTGACAGATTCACACGCCTCCGTTCATTCCCAGCCGAAAAACAAAGGGCTTAATTTGTCATGGTTGTTTTCTAGGATGAAGAAGAAGAACAAGAATGGACATTCACCAAATCGAATGCAATCCGAGAATGCTTCCCAAAATTTCCAGGACTTGGGGATGGTATCGGCTGAGACATTGAAGAAAGAGTTAATGGAAGCTAATGAGAGTCGAGATGCAGCCTTAATAGAAGCCGCAGCAATGAAGTCATCACTGGAACAGCTAAGCCAGAAACTAGAGTATTTGGAAACTTATTGTGAAGAACTGAAGGAGGCATTAAGACGGGCAGTCGAAACTAGAAACTCTCAACCTGCTGAAAAACTTTCGAATCTTCCACAAAAAGGGAAATCATTTGATGGTAATGCAGAAAATTCGATGCCTGTAAGTGAGGAAGGTATGGTCGAGGGCTTTTTACAGATAATTCATTTCTCTGAAATGATCTGTACATACCATTTCAAAGAGTTCAGCTAATCGAAATATGTTAATATTTATTTATGTTTCGTTAATTTAAAGATCTTACAAGGAGAATTCTTTGGTCAACTCAGGGGATAACAATTTAGGAGGAAGAAGAAAATCAACTTTCCAAAACACAAAATATAATACGTCTAAAAAATTTAAATCAATAATTAAGCAAAACCAGTAAATAATCAAACGTTTACTTCTTAAATCACGCCTTTGATCCTATTGCTAATGTTGTGATTCACCGAATAAATTAAACTGTTTTTATTTTTAATACAGTCTAAGAAGCCCAAAAGGAATTCGAACGCAATATGTATTAAGAATATACCCCTTGCAGAAAATAATTATACAATATAAGTTTTTCTTTTTTTATTCCATTCCACTTTCTTAGATTCTGTATTAACGTTTCTTTTATATATATGTGTGTGTATTAAGAATATACCTCTTGCAAAAAATAATTATACAATATAAATTTTTCTTTTTATTCCATTCCACTTTCTCAGATTCTGTATTAACGTTTTTTTTTTTTTTTTTTTTTTTTTTTTTTTTTTTTTTTTTTTTTGTTTTCCAGTAGGGTTTAATCCTCGATTATATTTAGCCATGAACTAAATAGAGTGATAAAAAATGATTCATGTAGTCGACTCTGAATTTATTAGCAAATAAGAATTTATTGTTTCTCGTAGTTTTCATAGGGGTTGAATTAACTTGTAATATCTACTTAGTGCTGATTATGCTTGGATGAGTTTCCTCGCCCAACTGAATTTTGAGTAAATAAAACTATATTTTTATTTTGCTAAAAATTCCTCAGCATCTTCACCTCCACTGGACAAGGTCGAGTGCAATATTATAACAAACTTTAACTAAAAATATTACTCAACTCTTTGAACCTTTCTCAATAGGGCATATTGTCATTGCCACCAATTTTGAATAACCAATTTTACTCGACCTACACTTCATTTTTCACTTCAAACCCACTGAATAATCGAAGTGTTAGAAAAATGAAGTGTGTTTGCTAGTGAAACTCGAAAAACCTCTTCCTCAGGCTCATCCTCCACAATTAAATTTGTCGAAATCCCTTTTAACAGCACATAACATGAAATCCCTCCTGAGGCCGAAAAATTCGGACTCAGTTCCTTACAACCTTCTACTCTCTGAGTTTCAAAATTCCATTCAAGAAGTTGCTATTTGATATTACACAAGAACAAGGTGTGAAGCCAGTTTGTCTACTAGCAGACTTTTTATTTGGATGGACAGCTAATGTAGCCTATGAATCTGGAATTTTTTTATTCAATTTTCAGTGCTACAGGTGATTTGGTGGCTGAATTTACCTCACAAGAACATTGATGCCGTCTTTGGTAAGTCGGAATCAACAATAGACAGTATTATCGAAGAAAGAAACATAAATCTTGTTCTTTATATTGTCCAGACATTTATAATATGGTGTGTGCTGAATTTCTGCTGAAGCTGGGAAACATCATGTTATTCAATTGTCCAAAGCTATGTTAATGGCAGGGGATAATGATCCTTTTACAGAATACCACTGGAGCAATCTTCCAACTTGGGCAAATTCTGGTGCTCTTCTTCTCAAGACAGTCGAAGAACTCGACAAACTTGTATTGATGTATTTTAGTCGTAATCATGCGTTTCAGATTATATGATTAGACCAGTATTATTAACAGAAAATGTTAGATCATCAAGAGCTGGTAAAGAAGCAACAATTAGTCACGATAAAGGTATCAAATGGCTCCATAAAAGGAAGAAAATTCTGCATTACACACGTACTTTGGCTCACAGAAAACAATCTCAGCTTCACATAAGATGCAATTAGTAAAGGCGCAGTGTAAAGGTTCGATTTCTGAAACATGGATTGGAATTCTTTGTGGGCACCAGAGTAGATACCGCTCTTGTTCCCTGACCTGTTGGAACACATTCCGCTATTAACCTCTCTCACGATGCTCCAGAAGTGAAACGATGGGGGACCTTAAGGTTGAAGTTCAACCTTTTAAGATGCAATTAGTAAAAGCCCTCAAATCTTGATGCTAGTGGAAGAAATTTCACATGGATTGTTATGCCACCATTTGAATTTGATATAAATGCGAATTCGTAGCAGACCAACTTTTCTAGTATACCCTACAAAATAAAATCAACATGTATGTGAAAATCATTTTAAAACAAAACAATTTAATTGCAAAATAAATATTTTCTAATATTAATAATCACAATCATAGGAGAGACAAGTGTACATAGATATCGTTATAGATGCGTATATAAACATGAGAGTCAAAAGTGGTAGTTAAAATCGAAATGCTTTCCCACATTTCGGCTTCTATTTCGCTTTCTTATTCTTCTCTGGCGGCCACCGCTTCCCCCACCGCCCTACGCCGCCTCCGCCCTTCTCTTTCCAAATCTCTTAGGCCAGAACTCCGTTCCTACCCCTTCAAATTACTGAAACGCTACTCCATATTTTCAATGGAAACCAACCCTTCAACAACTGCCTCTGTCTCCAGCGATTCCATTTCAGATGATAAGGAAAATAAAACATTAGAACATAATAGTGTCAAAAATAGTAATAGAGTGAAATTGAAGCTGGAAGAATTGAGGTGGGACAACTCCTTTGTTCGGGAACTTCCTGGTGACCCAAGAACAGATTTAATTCCCCGACAGGTTCGTTATTTATTTAATTTTATTTATTCAATAGTTTCTGGATTTATCTATTCCTTTTGAATTTTTAGGTGGTGATATTTTAATTTTATCTGTGCTTCTTCGGCTATTTTTATAAAGAATTTTGTAGGAATTGTCGCAGCTAAGTCTGATACCCCAGATTTTTTATTTTTTGGTTCACTCAGATTTGGAACAATTGAGCAATGAGGTCAATTAATACTTCGGGGGTAATTATTTTCAATATACATGTAAATAGCTTTTGTTAGGATTTCTTTTGCAATAATGAAAACACGAACTTTAAATTCCAAGGGACAATAATGGGTCACGTTCCTTAAAGACTGTTTGTCACTCACCAATAGTGAATGCACAAGGGATATTAAATATTCCTCCACGATGCAATGCTTTGAATGTTGATGGTGATTAGTGCACTTAATGTAAGAAACCCAAACTCGATAAACTTATACAAGAGGCTTTATACCCCTTTTTCTTGAAGTATAACAGCATATAAAGTTTGATTTTGAAATGAAAAATGAAATAGAAAGGAAGAATGCAAGAAAGCATTGAAGAAGGTAGAGAATAATCTGGAATTCTATCAATTTTTCACCCCTCAAATCAAAGAAAATTTGGTTCTACATGTAGATTCATATCACACCCTTTCAAATAGGTTACAACCATTCATAGGTGTCTTTTAAATTCGAAATATATCAATTAAAACTAAAAAGATTCGAATTTTAACAGCCAAAGATAAGTTGGGTACGAAAAGGCATCATTGGTGTCACTTGGCAGCACTGGTGCGCTAGCAGTCAGTGGTTTGCTGGCCAAGCACGCTAGCACAGGCATTATAGCTGCTCCAACCAGGTGGAGCAGGGCCAGATTTTTGGCTAACTCCTTCGTCTCTCATTTTTGTTCTGTCTGGATCCAAATGCTTTTTCACTCATCTTTCCTTTGTTGATTTAATCTTCAATGTGAAAACTTCATTCTCTTAAAAATCTCTCCAACAATAGCTTGACTTGATGATGTTTGTAATGCCTTTAGATTTTTTTAACTATGTATGCTTTTTTATTTTTCGTATTCTAAATAAGATGTGTAGGAATTCAATTTTGTGTATTTACTCGTGATTAGTTTCACCTCGATTTACCTAGTTAATGACAATGCCATTTTGTGCAGGTGTTGCATGCTTGCTATTCTAAAGTGTCTCCATCTGTTGAGGTGGAGAACCCTCAGCTTGTTGCATGGTCTGATTCAGTTGCTGAGTTGCTCGATTTGAATCATAAAGAGTGAGTTGCTTCAGTTACCTGCATATATGTCTTTGACTTTATTCAATATCTTTCTGCTTTCGCATGTGTTTCATAAACCTTTCCACTCATGCCTAATTGGTTCAGTATTTCAGATTCACTAGGCCTGATTTTCCTCTCATATTCTCTGGAGCATCACCATTGGTTGGAGGGTAAGCATCATTTCTTTAGCGTTTTAGATTATTTCTCTTAATCTTTTCAAATGAAACTTTATTTACTCTATATGATGTAACTTCTGTAGGATGCCTTATGCTCAGTGTTATGGAGGACATCAGTTTGGTATGTGGGCTGGTCAATTGGGTGATGGTCGTGCTATCACTCTTGGAGAGGTTCTGAATTCAAAGTTGGAGAGGTGGGAATTGCAGCTTAAAGGTTCTGGGAAGACCCCCTACAGCAGGTTTGCTGATGGTCTAGCAGTCTTGCGCAGTAGTATTAGGGAATTTCTCTGCAGTGAGGCAATGCATTATCTAGGAATCCCGACAACGCGTGCGCTTTGTCTTGTGACAACTGGGAAATATGTCACTCGAGACATGTTTTACGAGTATGTTCTTGTATTCTATTTGTTTATATACTCCAGTTTGATACTTTATCTTCTGCTTCAGCTTTGGTTATTCCTTAACTTAGATAAGATGTTGTCAAGGTGTTGAATGGAACAAGTTTCCATTTATGAACAATGAACTTCTTATTCTACAATGCGAAGCATTTAGGGGCCGTTTGAGCCACATTATTTTTAGATTATAATGAGATGAATAATGTTTTTTTCAAAAATGAGTGGTTGAAAATTTTTTGATTTACGTGTAATATTATTTTATTGAAGATTGTGTGGTTAAAAGTAGGAGAGAGAAAAAATTAATTTAATATAATGAGAAATAATGGGGCTCAAACAGGGGCTTATCCTCTCGGACATATCTTTACATTTTGACATTTATCTTGCTTGAAGCCTAAATAATACAACCGTGAATGGCAAAATCTAGACTGATAACATGTTCTGGACTCTGGATTCATCATGGCAAAGTGACTTGAGTACTGCATGGTGTAGTAATATAATCTCTCAAAGTAACTTGAGTACTACATGTTATGACACTGATAAGTTTGGGCTTATTCACATGCAGTGGCAATCCAAAGGACGAGCCGGGTGCTATTGTTTGCAGAGTTTCTCAATCCTTTCTACGCTTTGGTTCGTATCAAATACATGCATCTAGAGAGGATCTTGACCTTGTTCGTACTTTGGCAGACTACACCATTCGGCATCACTTCCCCCATTTAGAGAAGCTGAGAAAAAGCGATAGTGTTTCTTTCAGCACTGGTGAAGGAGATGATTCAGTTGTGGATTTAACTTCAAACAAGTATGCAGGTAATTGTAATTTTGAAGAATAAAATGTCATTAAGAAAAATAATCTCATTCTTTTAGGTGAAAAGTCCGGTGGATGGCCATTAATTTTTTTTCACTATTATTATTCCTTCTCCCTGTCAATTTGTGAATCCCAAACATTCTTTTTAGTATTTGCTTTACATGGTTGGGGGCATTTGTTGAGGTCATGGACCTATTTAACCATTTTTGTTTCAGTAAGAAAACAAAATTAAGATGAAATGATGGGGAAGTTTTAGATCCATGTCCGAGGATGTGGTTATTACATTTTGTTATCTTATCTTTCTTTTCATTTGTCTTGACTAAAGACAACGGCTGCAATTTAAATCCAAAGGACAACCTGTTCGTATGTCTCATTGGCTGAACATTTTGCCATTGTCTGTTTTATGTTCATTTAGACAATTTACCACATCGATTTGTCTGATAATGTCTCGGAAATTATTGAAATATCAGCTTGGGCTGTAGAAGTTGCTGAATGCACGGCTTCCCTGGTTGCAAGTTGGCAGGGAGTTGGTTTTACACATGGAGTGCTGAACACTGATAACATGAGTGTGTTGGGACTTACGATTGATTATGGTCCTTTTGGATTCCTGGACGCATTTGATCCCCGTTATACCCCAAATACTACAGATCTTCCTGGGCGACGGTACAGTTTTGCAAATCAACCTGATATTGGCTTATGGAATATTGCACATTTTGCCACAACTCTTTCGACGGCTCAGTTGATAAATGATAACGAAGCAAACTATGCCATGGAGAGGTATTTTTAATGACTTAACTTGTTTAATGATTTTCTTTTGGAATTGAATTTTTATTGATTTTCTATTTCTTCCACTGGCTAGATATGGGACCAAATTTATGGACGAATATCAGGCCATAATGACCAAAAAACTTGGTTTGCCTAAGTACAACAAGCAGTTGATTAGCGAACTTCTTAAAAACATGGCTATTGATAAAGTTGACTACACAAATTTCTTTCGGTCGCTTTCAAATATCAAAGCTGATTCTACCATTCCAGAAGATGAACTGCTGATTCCATTGAAGGCTGTTCTGCTGGATATTGGTAAGGAACGCAAAGATGCATGGACCAGCTGGTTGAAATCCTACTTACAGGAGGTGATACGACACATTATATTTCATTTTTATTTTCTAATTTATATTGGGGTTACTGAATTATTTAGAGGAACACATTTTTTAGTAGTTAATATACGCCCTTCTAAAATAAAACAGATGGCCACACATATAAAAACATGCACACAGAAATTCGCAAGGCATGCATCCTCTGCTTTCAGGTTTATATTCCAAATTCAGACAATCTTGACGAGTCGAAGTG